TAAAGTTGAAAACTGAGACAATTACCTGTTTCTATTCAACTCGATCTATTCTGATCAAAAAGAGAGAGAAACCCTATGATATTAACGTAATTTTACACTTTAGGGTCTACTAATTTGAACGAGACTCATACAAAACAGTTGCGACATTTTAAAACTAATGTCCTTCATGTTCGAAGTTACGATTTTGGGCAAGACGACATTTGTTGATTTGAATTTAATCTTATATCGCAGCATGTGATCATCACGCGCGTGTGTGTGTAAATGAAAAAATTAAATTTTAATGTGAGGTATTGCTGCCTCTATTATAAATTACGTCTCTTAAACGTTGTTGCATGTTTATGCACCGCCGGATCGCTGCTTGCGGAATTTGATGCCAAACTCGACGAAGTGCTTCTATTAATTGTTCTAATGTTTGTATTCGTGGATAATGTCGTCGCAATCGACGCTCAAGCATATCCCAAACATGCTCAATCGGGTTCAGGTCCGGGCTCATCGGTGGGTGGTTCAAAACGTTAACACGATTTGCGTCGAGTCAAGTTGATCAGAATAGATCGAGTTGAATAGAAACAGGTAATTGTCTCAGTTTTCAACTTTACCTTTCACTTAAGTTTTTACATAAAAAGCTTATCTGTGTAAAAATTGATAAAAGCATCTTTAAAATAAATATGGTGAAAGTAGGTATACAATATCTTTTTAAATAATTTACGTTATGTTGTAATTGAAAGTGGTACCATTAACTTCTTAATATAACATACTTCTTAGCATAACTTCTTAGCATAACATCTCAAATTAAAAGACGTACATATTGGCCAAGGGTGGATACTTTGACACTCACAAATTTTAATGTTACGTATTTCATACAATTACGCACTATATTAATATCTAATACATGTCACTTTATTCTGATTAATATTTAAAATATATAGGAAAGTGGAGAGAGACAGAGAGAAAGAGAGAGATTTCGATAATAAAATCGTGCGTTGCATCGACATTTTTGCCGAGATTTTTGAGAATACACGAGAACACGAAAGCATTCATCGTGTGGATTCTATACAGCTATTGCTTGAAAATTAAACATACGAATAATTTCAAATATTATATGAAAGTATATTTGACCTAATATACGAGTATATGTTTGCTACTAATTATTTGATTACTTATTTCCGATCTCACACCTTACGAGCTCGATCACGTCAATTTCTTACGGATCGAATTTG